GCACTAAAAGGGTCCCTCGACTGTAGTGCCAATGGGTGCCTAGCATACTTCGCTGGTGTTGCGGGAATGTAGCTCCGGCCAAAATCGCACGAGAAAGGACTTACAACGAAGGCAAAACGCCACGAACCTAAAGAAACGGAGCACGCATATTCCAGCTATTTTACCTGGCGTCAAGTAGTGAAGGTGTGGGGGATCTCCGGGATTCTGTACCCCTCGCCACTTGGTCCAGTTCTACCGTCTGTAGCGGACACACGTCACCGAATCTAATTCAGTAGAGAGGGACGTCTAGAATTTCAAGAGGGCAGGAACGAATATCACATGTCGGAATCGAAGGCAATTGTAGCAAAAGAACAAGGACAAATCGAGTACTGCGGATGGAACCTCGGACCTCGGTAGGGCGGGGTGGTGGGGTGGGGTGGGGGGGCACGAGGGCTCATAGAAGGCCGTAAATCGACAGCACACTAGTGAAGGGTGATGGGTGTAAAGGGCCAAGAGCCAAGGAACCACTGTAACTTACGGTGGACTCCGCGACGAGCGCATCCAAGCCGCTCATGAACGAAGGTGTCGATTTCTTCTTGTTCTGCGCTGCAGAAGCCTTGTCCTTGTCTTTGCTGCCAGGCCGGCTGAACAGCGTGCTGAACGTGCGGTTTCGGGGTAAAAGCAAAACATCCGTGACGTGTTTAATGAGGGGGGCACGGGGGAGGGAATGCAACCAATTTCGATCGAGGTGCATAAGACACCGCCTTCCATGTACGGCGAACCCCGAGCGGAGTGTGACGTGGGAACTTCCACATGGCCTTCGGCTCAAGAACGCACGCCTGCAGTGTACAAATATCCAATGCGGTCTTGGGGCAAGCGTGTGCTGCACAAGGAATTTCGATGTCTGTCTTTGTGTATGTATTCATTCATGAGGTAAGGTTCAAGATAGGTCTACATGTAGCGAGTATCTGTTGTGTGCGGCGTACCGAACAGGAGGAGAAAGCCGTCTCTTGTGGTTCAACAGAGAGTGGGACAATCAGCCCAGAAAGTTGAGAATTTATTCACATGGAAATCTCCCTCACTCTCTCCCTCTCTCTGTCTCCTCTCTCAACGTGCGATGCAACGGCTGGCGCATGGACATGGGGCGAGGATTCACATGAGTTACGTTTTGAGGCGGGGAAACGAGAAAAGGGCCATCCTCAATGTTGTGTAATACCGTAGTGTATGTGTAATGTAAAATAGTACCATTATAAAGAGTTGTAAAGTACAGACTTCAGCAGCTGGTTTTCGAAGCCCAAAAGCAGGAAGGGGGGGGAGGGGGAGGGGGCGACAATAACTAAGACTTCATTTTCATCGGTCCTCATCTACCACCCCAGGCATGCCCCAGGCAGCCAGGCCCAACTTTGCAACCTTACGTCGTGTATAAGGCAAGGGCAATCAGTCTCAGCGTGCACCATGCCAAAAGGGTATGCTGACATGTTTGAAATTCAAAATCGGGATGGCTCTATTGAGGGTGCATTGCTACAATCCAGTAGTCGCAGCCAGTAGACCACTTTGTCGCTCACCTGTCCGGCATATCGAAGTCATCGTCGGTGTCTGACATGATTTCCCGGTGCTTTCTGCAAACAGAGCAGAGGGATGACACCTGCTGCTGCTCTGTGCTGCTGGCGCGCTGTTCAAAGGCCATCCAGTGGGGGCACCGCGAAGGGTAATATACTGCTACATACGTGTACCTCCAAATCGTGTGCCCCCGGCAGCAAGCTTGAGATGGGCAGGGGCTGCTCCTCTGCCGCTACATCACCACGAGTAGGCGGCGGCCTCAGCCCCACGTCCGAAAGGCGATGGAGATGGAGGAGTGCTGGTGAGACCCAGTTCAAGGACCCGTTGTCTCTCACGGATCTCTCTCCGGAGGTCTTCCACACTTGAACGAATATTTTCGTTTTTTTTTTTCCCGGTGTTCCTACTCCTCTCTCCCCTGCCTCGAGAGCTAGCAACCTCACAGCAGTAGCAACTCGTGACCAAGAGTTATTTCAACGTCAAAGCCCTTTGGTAATTGCGCTATAGCCAACTAGTGAAACTGTCTGTATGTTGTTGTTTTTGCCCCGATTTAATTTCCAAATATTTGGCCGCCGATTCGCCGATTCCTCAAGGAAAATGCCGGTTCGCCGATCAATCCTTCCGCACGCCGCCGTGTGTATGTGCTGCGCATGTAGCCTTGTCCGACTCACTGCTGCAATGACTCAACACATCCCCTTAGACTGTGGTATCATCTCGAATGAGTGCCCTTTCTTTGATTGTAGATATATTTTCTAATGCTTGCCGAGAACAACGCGCACGTGCCTCACTACACACCACGACTGCTGTCTCCTCGGCGAGGAATTACATTGGACCACCACAGCAGTCTACCCCCCCCCCCCCCCCCCCCCCCCCCCCCCCCCCCCCCCCCCCCCCCCCCCC